TAAAATATTGTATACTCTTTGAAAAACTTATTTAGGCATGCAGGCTTTATGTCCAGTGACAGACGATAATAATCAATTGGGGTTTGATAATCCACTGTGGTGTGTATGATGTGTAGGGTTACATTGGCAACATCTACAGTTTGTACCCTGAGCCTTATTTCAGTTGTCAAATTAATTAAGCTCAAGTGATGAGCGTCACCGCTGTAAAGACTGAGCATGCTGGCCTAACATTACACTCTGAGCTAAGTAGCTATCTATATTCATCATCTGCATTTCTCACATTGGCTCCTGTACCACAGAGCCTGAAGGCAAGCAAAGGGCTGAGCTGTCTGCAGAGATACATTGCTTGGGAAATGTTGTTTATCTTTGAGCCAAGCCAACGATTTGGCAGCAAATCATATGCAAATATAGCATTATAATTTATATTGATTTTTTATTTAAAAGGATGCTTGAAAGTGGGTTTAATTTGCAACAGTGAGACATCAAAGAGGATCTTAGATGAAGGGCATTTTTAAAAATGGAAATGATGCTTCCTGTAAAATTCTACAGATTATAAACAAGAGTGTTGAGAAACACAAGATATAAGGTTGTAATTTCATTATTTCATCATTTCACGTCTTCACCCAGTCACACACAAACAACCACATGCACACATGAGATTATTTAGGAATTTGTCTTCATGTTTCCATGTGCCTAATAATGCTCTTATTGCTGTCCTAATTGGCCCTTTTGGTGCACTTCTTTTGATGTGCGGGGATGAGAGAGAGGGGTGGAAACTATAAAGCCTATTAAAGAAACGGTCTTCCTCGTCCCTCAGTTCTTTTAGCCCTGTGGCAGATTGAGAAGCTGAAACAAACACACTTTTCCTCCAACAGACCCACATACACACATCTATTTACATTTATCCTTCAGACCACAACTAAAACTCAGCATGAAAGCATAAAGCAGTCGAAGTTATCTTCAGAGTTAAACAAGGCCTTCTTCTGTGCAACACTCTGAACACAAAGATGTGAGGGTTCAAGAGAGCGAAAAGAGACAGAAGCCTGAGATAAAGAGCTCGCAGAAGACGCCCTGGATCATAAAGAGAACATCTCTGGAAATAGCAAAGAAAAAGTTGAAGGGAGAAACACATACAAGACAAAAAAAAGTTGAGGTGAAATGAGGTGAGAGTGAGCAAGACAAATATAGGGAGAGTGGAAATCCACTTGACAGAGGGAGAGAGTGGAGAGAAATGAAAGAAGAGGCAAAAAACAAATGGAGCAAATGGACAGGGAGATGAATGTGTTGGGGAGGTGCAGGTTTTTGTAGTTTATTACACGACCCCTGGGAAATTTTTTATATCAGCAGAGCAGTTTGTGCACAGTGACAGTGGATAAATTTCTTTCTTTTTTCGCCCCAGGTGGAGACAGATAATTGTAGATAAATTCCTTAGTGCCAACCTATGGCCATATGGGCTGTTCAGGGCATCAGCTAATATTTCAACTCTCTGTTTACACAGAGGGAAAGCCAGAACTGTATGTAGACCTTAGCATCAGTTTGGCTTCATTCTTATTAAAGCCAAAAACACCTGTTGCTGTTTAGTCACCTCATTATTAGTCAATTTAGTCTTTTAATATGAAATGCTGAATGGGACTGTAAATGGACTACAGTTGTATAGAGCTTTCAAAACACAGCACTGAACAGAGTCTCTCTCATTCAGCATGCACAGGACTGAGCACAGGAGTGTAAATATGGAGAGGAACATTATGCAACAATTTGTATTTTTTGCAACTTGACGCCACAACTGTTTTGGAGTGCAGTTCACCCTCTTAAAAGCCAGTCTGACATTTTCACTCTCTTGCTTGGCCACTTACTCCGTGAACGTGCTTTTTAAGTCTTTTCTCGACTTGAATCTCCTCGCTCGTAATACTGAGCTAAGAATGGTAACTGGAAAAATGTACCTTTGCGCTTTTAGCCGCTAAGCAATACCGTAAGGCTCTCTGCATTTCTCTCAGGAGATCATATCCACTTAACCCAAGTTACAAAATTAAAGATCAGGGTGCTGAGAGGGGAATGAAAGATTAATCAATCCAACTGTTACACGCAATGTATCAAACAATGATTCAAAAGCTTTGACAACTGTATTTTGAAACATAAATATTTGTATAATGTTGTTTTTATAGACAATAGCTCTATCTCTGGGCCACCAAAAGCTTAAATAATGGAAAAACTTGGGAGGCATACCTCTCACTCCTCAGAAAATCAATGATCAGTCAGTGGTCAACAGTTGTCCCCTAAATAAAGCATTGTGTACCACTTGTACCTGGGGTAAATACAGTGTCTAACAAACCACAAGGGTGTCTCCTTTAAATCCATTAAATATTTATAGTGTACTTAGTCAGATATTTTCAAGAAAGAAGATGATTTCAGAATATCCTGATGTCCTATTATGCTTACAATACTGTAACACCATCAGTGAGGGGGCATTGCTGAATGTCGTCCCTCTCACTACTAAGTCTATCGTCTGTCTCTACTAATATATATTTTTTTGATTTATCTTTACATCCCTTTAGAAGGTCCCAACCTCCAGGTTTTCCCAAACGACCTGCTCATTCAAAGCTGTAAATGTCGGTTGGCTTTTCTTCTTTTTTACAGAGCAGAATAATAAACCTTCCTGCAGGTGTCAACAGAGACCTTGAAAAGATGTGAGTTCGCTTTCTGCTTTCAAAAATAACAAACATCTATTGGAGGTCTAAAACCCATTTGTATATTACTACTTATCATCGTTGCGTCTTTCGCTTCTGCATTATATATTGAGCCGAATTGAAAATGTGGTGTTGATTTCCTCAATTAACGAAAACACGTCTAAATCCTAAAATGTGTGTTTTGAGTCCTTAGCAGGATGTCAAGTCCAATCCAAACTACCTGTTTTTATTGAAATAGTTAGTACATCCATTTTATAGGAATAATACATGTTTTTGATCATACTGTTTTTGTTGAACACATTTGATTACCAACCTCTAAATGGGATCATTTGAGGCACCATCTGTTGACTTCCGATAATATCTTCCTCAAAATTCATCTGCTGTTACCAGAAAATGTAACATATGGCAAAGAATTAATCCAAGTTCAGAATGGTAAGGGTGAAGTACATGTGAATTCACATCTCTCTGCCTCTGTGTCTCTCCCACCACTGCTGTGACACTGAATCTGAATATTTTCTCCTCCTTAAAACTTGTGTTTTCTCAGCAAGTTAACTTCGGGAGCATCCCAGCTGGTTGCTGCCTCATGTTGGGCGGCGATCAAGGGTGAGCCAACCTTCCATGCAAAATGAATCCTGCCCTGCTTTCATTAGGCCACTTTTTATAAACACTGCAGCAGATGGTAGAACACACACGTTCACTGACACTCACACTGCAGTCCCCCGAGGAGCACCCTCGTCTCTTCTCCCAACTTTTCTCTCCCACTTTTTTACTCATCTCTCCTCCCTCCCTCCCTCTTCCTCACTACTAACAGTGCAAACTTCAAAGTGGCTGCTATTTAGAGGTTACCCTAACTAGAGAGCTTATCCTGCACTAAATTGGCTAAAAATACATGTAAGTTGCTTTGTAAGCATTGTTTCCTTCTGAGTGAATAGGTTGTGCTAAAAAAAAAAAATGGATCAAGACAACACAGTGGATGTTTCTCTGTCGTCTCCATAATATCTCCATGTCTCTTTATATTTCAGATTTTAGGCAGCTGAAAAATCTCCTTGAAAATGTGCCTAAAGTATCAGTTCAGCAAACATCTGAAGTATTGTGCTGAGAGCTGTTGCCATGCAATGCAATGAGGCACGGGTCGAGGAATTAAAATAAACAACCCACGCAGGATGCTATATATGACTGTGTTTCAGAAAACCATTTACATGCTCCCTTAAGTGTTTTTTACAGCTAATTCAAACTGTCTGTGGGCTCTGGCTGCACTGCATGACAGGTAAGACAAAGATAATATGGACAGCTGAAAGGCGGTTTTCTTAGGAACTAACACAAGATTCATTGCATATCATTCACATCAATTAACATCGCCTACACAGTTCTTGACACAGCATATGTAACACACAGTCAGTGTTAACAAGATCAGTGTAAAATAAGGATTTGGAGCTCCATGTCTCCTTAGTCTGTGTGCTGGAGCTCTGTGTCTGCTGGTGATAAACATCATGTCTGAGGTCAACACACTCAAGACAGACCAGGGCCAAAGGCTGACAGATTACAGCACACTGATTTACTGCAATCACACACACACACACATACACACACACACACACACACACACACACACACACACACACACACACACACACACACACACACACACACACACACACAGCCACAGCCGCCATAGAACACATACAAAATACACACCTTTAAATACTCCTATTTTAGGAGTGAATTATATGCAAACATATTTTCATGGACATAACTGCATGCCCACAGTTATCACCAGAAACATACATACATACAAAAAACACACATGCACGCACGCAGGCACGCACGTTAGCATGCAAGCCTCAAGTGTCAGTGCCAGTTTCCTCCTGTCAAACAGAAGCGGGGCAGACAGGAGGCAGGTTGGTTAGGAAGGCCAACAGGGGAAAATACCATTACCTTTTATAGACTTGCCTGATCACTTTGGTGTATGCACACACTTAACACTCACACTTACACACACACACACACACACATGCACAAACAATCCTACATCTATAGGACAGGTGGCCTGATGATTGCATCATTAACCAATGACGAAAATTTTATGCCAACTTACATTGCTGCTTCCTAAACATTCAGTTCATTCCCATAATGCACTTTTTCTGTAATATTCATGAGTCTGTAAGCATCATATGAGCCTCCTTCATTAAGGTAAATACACACAACATGACAGGTGCTTCTTTCACAAGACAGCCACATGCATGTGCTTAAAAAAAAAAAGCACACATCCCTAATAGTCAACATTTGATTATTTTTTAATACAAATAAAAGTCTTACCTTTGTGGAAGTTCACCTGCTTTGTTTGCATGGAAAAGGTTCCCATCACAAGACCCATGTTGACTTTCTAGCTGGAGACGAGTTTTGTGTGTGGTAGGTGTAAGTCTGCTTGCCTATGATCAAGGTGTGCCTGTGAGTGTGCGTAAAGTATGCTTGCCCAGTAATTAAGTTAGTGCATCAGCCAGCTGCGTATGTGGAAGTATAGATATCACTTCTCATGCTGCCTTGGACGCACACAGCTCTGCCGCTTCTGCTCGAGGCTGTGCGTGTGTCTGTCTGTGTGAGTGAGTGAGTGAGAAAGAAAGAGAGAGGATGTGTGTTTGTGTGAATGAAATAGCAGGCGCACATGCACTCTGAGGCTACCTTTGTCTACGCAGTCACTGAAGCTTCCTATTTTACATCCACTCTATCTCTCTCTCTCTCTCTCTCTTCAGCACTCCTGCCCTCTTCCTCTCTCCTTTTCCTCTTTCTTCTCTCTCTCTCTCTCTCTCTCTCTCTCTCTCAGTGTGTTCCCTGCCACCAGCCTGTCATTCCATCAATTCCTCTGTGCCTCTTTATGTATCTGCCTCCCTCTGTCTCTCCCTCTGCTTTTTCAGCTCCCTCTTCGCCTCCTATTCGTCTCAGTCGCTCTCCTCGTCTGTCTAGTGGGGAAAGAAGGATTGCACACTGTTGCACAGGAAGAGACAGAGACAGAGAGAGAGGGAGAGGGGGTTTGTAAGAGGGACAGAACTCAAGGGAGCGTGGGGGAGAGGAGAAAACAGATTGAGAAATGACGAGGACAGAGGAGAAGGGAGGAAAGAGGAACAGGGACAAATTTGGAGGATTCACCAACAGCAGGGGAGGGAAAGTAAGGGGAAAGAGGAGGAGAACAGAGAGGGAGAAAAAGAGAGATATAAAAACACGAAGAGCGCAGGAGGAGAGGGGATATGAAAGAGAGCCAGAATAATCAGTCCCCCTTTGCTATTCAGCAGGCAAACGGTCTGACCGTGGAGTTTATTTGCTGCTTTATCTCCACAAGCACAAGTCTGACAGGAGCTGTCTGTCCTTCATGTGTGTGTGTGTGTGTGTGTGTGTGTGTGTGTGTGTGTGTGTGCGTGTGTGTGATTAGTCTGCTAGCGGGTGGGTCACAGACAAAGCCCTTTTCATCTGACACCACTACATTTGCAGAGACGCCGCCTCGCATATGTCAGCGCGGGCATCATTGCACTGTGTCAGACATGTTTTTCTGTCTAGTCTGCTGATGAATCCATCAGCTACACACAAACAAACACACACCCAGACCACACACACACACACACGTCCTCAACGACAATACGACCAGGGGAATGAACCTCTCGCATACACTCCCCTGTCACTCACGTTAACCCCTTCTTGCCCTGTGTGTAACTGCCTGCTGTAGAGATGGATGGCTGCAACCATGCCATCGACTTCACCCCGATTGAAATTCCTCACATGGCTGTAGTTAAGAAAAACAATTTACAGCTGAGCCGTAGCTGTGACCAGGCTGAAGCCATCAAGGCCAATGATAAAGCTATTAGGCCACGGCATTCATTAAAAGCTACTGGCTGTAGAAGGCCATTTGGCAAGGATCAATGCAGTGTAAGAACAAGAGAAAGGGGTGGAGGAGGTGTGAGAAGAAATTGAGATTTAGAGAAGGAGAGAGATAAAACAAAGAAAGGTAGAGTGAGGTACGCAGACAAAGAAACTGAAAAAGGAACCACTGCAAGGCAGGTGTGTATTTGTGTTTGGGGAAATTGTGAGGGACATATTTTAGTTATACAAGAGGCCAGAGCACACCCCAACATTCACACACATCTCGTTTTGTAGCTCTGCATAAAGACACATATCTGACAGGAGTCTTTTCTAAAATCAAATATTAACAAAAACATTTCACACACAACCACACATGTACAAACACCCACTGGTTACCACAAGTAAGAGTGGCAATATATGCACAAACAGAAACAGGTTTTCAAACACACACTACAGCGGCAACACAGCAGCAAATTAAATTCTGAAAGCCCGGCTGAATAGACAAGATAAGGGGACGTGATTTGCTGTAGTGATGATGTTTAACTCCAGTAGATGGTTGCACCCACGTCTGCCAGTGGAGAGAAAGACTGAATCACAGCTGAATAAACTGAAAATAAGCAGAAAAAACAGAACGTTTTTTTCAGTGTCTGAAGGTCTTATATTTCCAAATACCAAGCTTTAAAACAAACTGAAGAAAGATGGGAATAATAATAAAAGCTTTATTTATAAATCCCTTTTCAAAATCCAGGTGATTCAGGTGATTTATAAAGGCAAGAAAAAAAGAAAAGGAAAATGAGAAGAAAGACTATATAAAATAACATTATAGAAGGATTACACTTGGTTGTAATAAGAGCAGCTCACAAATAATTATGAGGAATTTACATGGTAAAGGTCCAGAATAGCTTCTACATTACCACCATGAGTCTGTTTATCAAACAGAAAGATGAAGAATGATTCTAATCTTAAAACCAAGAAAGGTGAGAAGTCCATCAACTAAAATAAACATGAACATCACTTATAGGATGAATTCAGTTTTCAAAAGGGAGATTTTGAGATAAAATCAAATATTCCTAGAAAGCTACTAAAAAAGTCAAGATTAGTTTTGTGATAATCAAATATGAATTGCTGAACTTCATCCATGTTCTATAAGACTGTTTAGCAAATTAATCTGACATGAGTGGAGATCCCCAGATCTCAGCACAGATCCTTACAGAGTACAATCTTAGTTGGTAGCATTTCTTGCTTCAGCTAAGAATATACAGTGATGACTTGACAAGGAGCCTGGGTAAAAAATAACAATTTGGTTGATTATAAGGTCAAATGCAATGGCCCAAAACTGTTCATGTTTAAGTATTTGCCTCTAAACCTCCATGACTCAGCAGAAGCAGAACACAGAAACCTTGGCCAGAAGCGGGAGACTCGGGCACCCCTCTGGAGCCAGTGTAGATTGGTTCTTGGCACATGGAATGTCACCAAGGACCTCATGTCAATGCACAGTACTGGTTCAGAAACCAATCTGCTGGAGAGGAGCTGGTCTGTCTCCTTTTGTTGTGTTGTCCAAGGTGAGAGGCACATGGCAGGTGTGGGGATACTCACAAGCCCTGGCTAAGCTGCGTTATATTTATGTATATTAGATAGATAGATATTTTCCCAAGTGAACGAGAGTGTTGCCTCTCTAGGAATGCAAGTAGCAGGGAGTAACGCTCTGGCTGTTGTTTGTGCTTATCCACTGAACGGCAGTTCGGAGTATGCAGCCTTCTTGGAGTCACGAGGTGGGGTCCAGGAAGGGGTTCCGCCTGGGGATCTAAGCCTGAGGATGTTCTGTTATTGGACTTCTGTGCTAGTCATGGATCTGCCATAACAAACACCATGTCTGAGCATAGGGATGTTCATAAGTGTACCTGGTACCAGAACGTCCTGGGTCAAAAATCATTGATTACCTCTGTGTTTTACCTGGCAAACCTTAATGGGTAGATTTGGGAACATTTGGTAGAGGCCCCTGTCTGTGTCCTACAGAAGGTTTTTCATGTATCGTGGATGACTGGAGGGTCGGGGTATCACATACTCGGCCTCAGAGGGAAAGTTTATTCCAGGATGCATAAAAGGAGGCTCCTGTCGATTGTCGTACCTCTATTACAGGAAGAACAATGTGGATTCTGTCCTGGCCATGGGACAGCGTACCAGCTCTTTACCCTCGCATGGCATCATGGGGGGGGCATTGGAGAATTTATCTTTATCCAGTCTGCATGTGTTTTGTATACCTGAAGAAGGCTGACGATAGTGTTCCTCGTAGTGTCAAGGGGAGGGGGGGGGGTACTGTGGGAACATGGGGTCCCGGGGCCGGCGCTGTAAGCCACCAGATATAATCACAGTGAGCTGTGTCTGCATTCTCGGCAGACATGTTCCGCTTGTTTGATTTTGTTTGTGATTTTCATAGACAGGATCTCAAGGCGCAGTCAAGGAGGGTGTTTTTTTGGTTCAAGGACCTCAGAATTACATAGCTGCTGTACTGTTGGCTTCTTGAAGGCTGGGACCTCGAGCAGGCATTGGGGCCTGCAGAGTGCAAAGCGGTCGGGACGAGGGTCAGGACCTCTGAGGTTATGGTTCTCTGCCAAAAAACGATGGATTCCTCGCTCTGGGAGGAGAGAGAGTCTCTGCCTCAAGTACTGCAGTATGGGGTACAGACCATCATGCTGAAGAGGGAGCTGACCTGAAAGGCAAAGCTTTTGATTTACATCCCAACCCTCATCTATGATCATTAGCTTTGGGAGCACCTGGGAGGAGACCCCGGGGTAGACTCAGAACACAATGTAGGGATTATATATCCCTTCCTGCCTGGGAACTACTTGGGATCCCCCAGGAGGAGTCACGAAAAGAGACATCTTGGGCAACTTGCATAGCTTGCCGCCATCGTGACCCAGCCCTGGATAGGCTCAAGATAATGGCTGGATGGGTGGCAGCATGTTAACTTATAATGCCTTTTTATATCCTTTTGCAGCACATATTTCATCAACAGCTCAGTTTTCAATCGTGTAATTGTTCTAAAAATTAAGTAGTCGTTAAGTAGTTGCTTTTAAAATATATAAAAATACAAACAGCATCAGCATGCTAGGTACATCAGTTCCAAAGAGGTTCCAGCGTCACTTAGGAAGGGCTCAGAGTTAGAGTCCCTTACCCTGATCTCACCCTGACGCATTAGCTTTTGAGATATTCAGCTGTCAAACCCAAAGTAATTGAAGCATTAATATCTAAGTTGTTTAAACAGGGAAACAAAAACAGCAATTCACTACAGTGCAATAACACCAAACAGCAACAGGTCAATTGCATTAGGCAGAGCGCCAAGCTTTTCCAAGACATTAAGCCTGACTTGGTCTGTGCTACTACTCGGGCCTGTCCAGAGTGCTGTGGATCATTTTGAGTGCCAGCCAGCCTATCCCTCTCATCATTTATTAACTGTAACACAATGGATCTTTTACTAGATTGAGACGGCCGCCTGCATGAATGGATGGACGTTAAGAAGGAAAAGGATGGGGTGAGACAGTGGAGTAGTAAATAGAGAGAGCATTTGACAGCAGAGGGGAATAAAGGTGTTGACAAGCAGAGGAAGTGTGGTGAGAACGCAGTGAATAAGAAATTGGCCAGTTAGTTTCTGCCTCCTCTAATCAGACAAAAGCTGGATGGAAACTGTCATAGCCATTCCAATTCAGAGGAGAGTATATGAAGGCAATGAGGGAAGAGACAGGGAAAGAGAGAGGGAAAGAAATGAGACAGGGGGGCAATAACTGTAGGAAGGGAGTGGAGGATCTGCAGATGGTGGGAGAGAAGTAAATGAGAGCAGAGAATTGGGAGGATTGAGAAGATGGAGGTGGAGATAGGTGAGGAGGGAAGCAAGGGGGAGGTGGTGGATGAAATTGAGAAAATGACAGAAACGAGATGACGGGACAGAAGAGAGAGATGAAGGAGTGAAAACTGAGCCTGGCCAATAAATGGCTCTGTGACGCTTCAGCAATGGAACAACCGTTACATTTAATGGAGTGAGGAGTTCAGGAGACATGCTCAATTGTCCTCACAGATCCCAGTGAGCACTAGCCGTGATTTCAACAATGGAATTTAGTTGAAAACAGGTTAAAATCGGGTCAAAGCGTCTAAAACCTTATTTTTCTTTTTAAAATGTGATAGCTTGTTCGTGTTAGTGATGTGGGTTAAAAAATGTTTTTATTAAGTATTCA